TGTATACAGGAAGCACGTACTCAGGAAGCATGTATACAAGCATGTACGCAGGAAGCATACATGCAGGAAACATGTACACAAACATGTACGCAAGATGTACGTAGGAAGCATGTACACAAAAAGCATGTACGCAGGAAACACGTACACAAGCATGTACGCAGGAAATATGTAAACAAAATGCATGTACGCAGGAATCATATAAACACACATGTACGCAGGAAATATGTACACAAGCAAGTATATAAGAAGCATGTACACATGCATGTACACAGGAAGAATGTACACAGGAAGCATGTACACAAGAAGTATGTACACAGGAATTATGTGCACATTATTTATGTGCATAGGAAGTATGTGCACAGGAAGTATGTGCACTGGATGTATGTACACAGGAAGCATGTACACAGGAAGTATGTACGCAGGAAGCAGATACACAGGAAGCATGTACACCAGGAGCATGTACACAGGAAGTATGTACACAGGAAGTATGTACACAAGAAACATGTACACAGGAAGCATGTACACAAATATGTACACAAGAAACATGTACACAGGAAGTATGTGCACAGGAAGCATGTACACAGGAAGCATGTACACAGGAAGTATGTGCACAGGAAGCATGTACACAGGAAGCATGTATACATGAAGCATGTACACAGGAAACATGTACATATGTACACAAATATGTACACAAGAAACATGTACACAGGAAGTATGTGCACAGGAAGCATGTACACAGGATGTATACAAGAAACAAGTACACAAGAAGCATGTACACAGGAAGTATGTACACAGGAAGTATGTACACAAGAAACATGTACGCAGAAAGCATGTACACATGCACACAAACATGTACACATGAAGCATGTACACAGGAAGCAAGTACACAGGAAATATGCACACAGGAAGTATGTACACAAGAAGCATGTACACAGGATAGTAACACAAGAAGCATGTACACAGGAAGTAGGTACACAACAAACATGTACACAGGAAGCATGTACACAAATATGTACACAACAAACATGTACACAGGAAGCATGTACAAGAAGCATGTACACAAGAAACATGTACATAGGAAACATGTACACCGGAAATACGTACACAGGAAGCACGTATACAGGATGCACGTACACAAGAAGCACGTACACAGGAAGCACGCACACAGGAAGCACGCATACAGGAAACACGTACACAGAAAAGACGTACACAAGAAGGACGTACACAGATAATGGACATAAGCACAATAAAACATACTGATATAATATTCAAACCATCAATATTAATAAGAGAAAAATCCTTCATTAATATTAGAGACAAAAGTGAAGCAATATGACATGAACGATAAACAAGCAAAAGAATTCTTTCCCAAAAATGTATATATTGATAAATATTGCAAACAGGGAATAATAAGCAGGAGAAGGAAGGAGACAGGGGAAGGACGGAGGGGAGAAGGAAGGCCGCTGGAGGGGGAGTATTGGAGCTATGAGAAGGAAGGTCTTTAAGGAGAATTTATCACTAAGTCCCAACAGTTCATCTATGTGAGAGTCTTCATCTGAACTGCCTCCTGTATAATCCTTGCTATTAAAGTATTTTTGTAGGGGTCTTAAAGTGTAATCTCCAAGCAACGAGATATTTGAGGCCGGAGGCTGGAAGGTCCCCCAGACAGCATTAACAAATTCGATATCACAAAAAACAGAGATGTACGAGAAAGTCATTACGTTTAAAGTGCCGTACTGTAGGAAAAGAGAATATAAATCCCTACAAGAAGATCTAGATAAGTTGACTTTGTGACGCCACAGATGGATAATAGTGTAGATAAGTGAGGTGTAGTGGACATGGAAGACAGCGAATACAGATTATAACAAATGATAACAGAACACTCGAAGATTGTACACTGTGTGATAACTTATTAATGAACTAAATGAGTTTACCTAGGAGTGAATACGTAAAGATTCTCACTGGAAGATCACTTAACTAGAGCAGTGAACAACACACACATTACACTACCAACCTTCACACACATGAATGGTAAAATACATAACACTCACTCCACAAGGTATGCTAGGCAGAAACTGGAATATGCAACGGGTGGAACAGTTTCACAAAATATAAATTCGGACGATTACAAATTAAAATGGCCCAAAAAATATGCTACAGACTGACTCCCAGAACTGAAAAAATGAGTTACGATTAGACAAGAATGCTAAAAATACTCCTGTTGGCTAACGGGGAGAAGAGTAGACATGATAACAACACACAAGATCATAAAACGAGAACCATTACCACGGTTGTAAGCTGAACATAAAAGAAGTGAAGAAAAAGAATATTTGAAGGTATCCCCAACACAAACAGGAAGAACACTGGAAAGGGAACCTTAGAAGAGACAGTAAGTGCTACAGACATTGGAGTGGGATCTTGGAGGTAGCAGCATGTGTTACAGCCACTGGAGTGGCATCTTAGAGGTAGCAGCATGTGCTACAGCCACTGGAGTGGCATCTTAGAGGTAGCAGCATTTGCTACAGCCACTGGAGTGCATCTTAGAGGTAGCAGCATGTGCTACAGCCACTGGAGTGGCATCTTAGAGGTAGCAGCATGTGCTACAGCCACTGGAGTGGCATCTTAGAGGTAGCAGCATGTGCTACAGCCACTGGAGTAGGATCTGAGAGATAACAGTAAGTGCTACAATCACTGGAAAGTTAAAACGGATATACATTTGAATAATTACTAGAGACGGCATGCACAGAGGATAGGGTCAAGTCTAATGCACGATACTGACAGGTTAAACGTAAATGAATAATCACTCGATGCAAGCCAAGAAACTGGATTTTAGCGTTTCAAAAGTTAAACCCAACTCTCTCTCTCTCTCTTACCCCTCTTCTTTCTCCTCCAAAATGCAACTCCAGCAAATGTAAGAACATAAGAAAGGAGGAACACTGCAGCAAGGCCTACTGGCCCATACTAGGCATGTCTTTCTCAAACCCAAACCCACTAACGAAAATATTTGCCCAACCCATTTTCAATGCAACCCAAGGAAGAAGCTATCACGGGACAAGCTGCACCAAGCATTTCCAACGATGCTCAGATACCGAGACAGTGGAAATTTTCTATATGCTTCAGAGACACAGCACTCCACGATCCTCCCACCTAACATGCCTTACGTAACACCAAAAAAAAAAAATCATATATTGGGATTGTGTGAATTCCGAGGCAGAGCCAGATGTGAACGTTTGAAATGGTTTACCATGGGACAAAATTTCCTGGCCGGAGTTTCTATAAAAGGGAATTTCAAAGCAGTGTAAATTGGACATTTCTATACAGCTGGATATCTTAGACGACGGGAATTGTTAGACGCCGCTAGATGTGGATATCGGAGATGCTTCCTAGAAGACAGAAGCACAATAGCAATAGCTATCGTGTGGAACGTGGAATACTGAAAATCAAGAAGAGCTACACTATGGAATGAAGGCTACACTGTATATGGAAGGCTACACTGTAGAATGAAGACTACACTATAGAAGGAAGGCTACACTATAGAAGGAAAGCCACACTATAGAAGGATGGCTATACTGTAGAATGAAGTCTACACTGTAGAAGAAAGGATACACTACAGAAGGAAGGTTACATTATAGAAGGCTACACTATAGAAGGCTACACTATAGAAGGAAGGCTACACTACAGTAAGAAGGCCACACTACAGAAGGAAGGCTACACTATAGAAAGAAGGTTATACTATAGAAGGAAGGCCACACTACAGTAAAAAGGCTACACCATAGAAGGAAGGCTATAGTACACCAGAGAACGAAGACATTATAGAAGGAAAGCCACATGATAAAAGGCTATACTACAGAAGGCTAGAAGACAGAATTAAGGCTACACCAGAGGAGATTACAAGACAGAAGAAAGGCTATATGGATACAGGATAGAACGAAGGCCATGAGGTTACAGGATACAAGGAAGGTCATGAGACTACAGGATAGAAGGAAGGTCATGAGATTACAAGATAGAAGGAAGGCCATGAGGTTACAAGATAGAAGGAAGGCCATAAGGTTACGAGATATAACGAAGACCATGAGGTTACAAGATAGAAGGAAGGCCATGAGGTTATAAGATAGAAGGAAGGCTATGCGGTTACAAGATAGAACGAAGGCCATGAAGTTACAGTATAAAAGGAAGGCCATGAGGCTACAAGACAGAACGAAGGCCATAAGGTTACAGGATAGAAGGAAGGCCATGACGTTACATGATAGAAGGAAGGCCATGAGTTTACAAGATAGAAGGAAGGTCATCCATGAGGTTACAGGACAGAAGGAAGGCCATGAGGTTACAGGATAGAAGGAAGGTCAAGAGGTTACAGGATAGAAGGAAGGCCATGAGGTTACAGGATAGAAGGAAGGCTACAATAACGCCATTACAGTTGACATCCGCACCAACCCAGAGGCGGAGTTGCCGAGAAGCATTTTTTCAACCAAGTTATTTTTACTCAACTATGTGGACAGGAGACCGTCCAGGGGAACACCTTAAATGAAACGAGACACCAGTAAGGTCTCTCAGACGAGACAACAGTAAGATCTCTCAGAGGGACACCAGTAAGGTCTTTCACACGAGACACCAGTAAGATCTCTCAGAAGGGACACCAGTAAGGTCTTTCATACAAGACACCAGTAAGGTCTCTGAGAAGAGACAGTAGTAAGGTCTCTAGACGAGACACCAGTAAGGTCTCTCAGACGAGACACCAGTAATTTCTCTCAGAAGAAAGAGAAGTAAGATCTCTTAGAAGGGACACCACTAAGGTCTTTCAGACGAGACACCAGCAAGGTCTCTCAGACGAGACACCAGTAAAGTCTCTCAGAAGAAACTTCAGCTGGAGTAGGATGGGCGTGTAAGCACCGTGGGCCGAGGAGCGGGATTTGAGCAGGGTAGTGGGTACGGGGGTGCGGTGGGGTCGGAGGAGAGGTGGGCGGGTGTGGGTTATGCAGGGGTGGGCGCCGGGTACTCACCCACACAAGGGTTGTTGTGTACTCTGCGGAAAATCCTCTCACACTTGCGCTTCTGGCGATCCATGGGACAGATGCAACCAAACATGGGCGACATCTTGAGCTTGGTCCAGGAGCTTAGACACTTGTTCCTGCAGGAGAGATAACCGAGGGTGAGACACTTGTTCCTGAGGGAGAGATAACCGAGGGTGAGACACTTGTTCCTGAGGGAGAGATAACCGAGGGTGAGACCCTTGTTCCTGAGGGAGAGATAACCGAGGGTGAGACACTTGTTCCTGAGGGAGAGATAACCGAGGGTGAGACACTTGTTCCTGAGGGAGAGATAACCGAGGGTGAGACACTTGTTCCTGAGGGAGAGATAACCGAGGGTGAGACACTTGTTCCTGAGGGAGAGATGTTGACCCAGGATCAATTTTCATGGTGTGTGTGTGTGTGTGTGTGTGTGTGTGTGAGTGTGTGTGTTTGTGTGAGCAAAACAACCATGGGGGAGTTGAATGATAGCAGTGGGCCTTTCTTGTTGCAATGAACACATCATCAGGAGCTTGCAATATTGCAGAAATGAGTAGGAAGTTCAGGAACATACAGTCAGGGGAGCGATGAGATGGCATCAAGCAGACCAGTGCCAGGTGCCAGAAAGATGAATGCAAGGTATTATAACATTAACAGCAACAGCATATAGAAGATCATCAACATTAAATATTTAGTAATGACCCAGCGACCACAACATTAGTGAAAAGACAACTGTCACCAACTTGCCGCCAAACTTTGTATCTTATCATCATAAAAGACTTTAATATTCTGATCTCAAAGATATCTGGCGTCTATCAGCTGGGAAAATTTCATCGCATACAAAGAAAATGGTGCAGCAGCAAAAAGGGTAAAAACCCTCTTGTTTCCAGAGGTTGGCCCAATATCCCTCAGGTAAATGCTGGTTTATCCATGAGGTCGAGTGGGAGCAGCAAATGATACTCAGTTCGTCAGTGTAGAGCTGGATTTACGACAGTCCAACGAGTTCTGTTAGGAATCTGACGCCAGTTCAGATTGTGCACGATGCCTGATAGACGCCAGATATAATTGACATCAGATTTTTAAAGTCTTTTATAATAATACGATACAAAGTGTGACGGCACGATGGTGACAGTTGTCTTTTCACTAATGTTGTGGTCGCTGACTTATTACTAAATATTTAATGTTGATTATCTTCTATATGCTGTTACTGTTATAATACCTTGCCTTCATCTTTCTGGCACCTGGCACTGGTCTGCTTGATGCCATCTCATTCTGGCTAGAGTCGCTCCCTTAAGCGTGTCTATTTAGATTTCCTACTCATTTCTGCAACATTGCAAGCTCCCGATGATGTGCTGATTGCAGCATGAAAGGCCTAGATCTATCATTCAACTTCCTCGTGATTATTTTGCATCTTGTATTGCTTGTTTGCAATTATTGCATCTATGTTGTTCTACTCTCTATTGTATTTTTGTCAATGTATTATGTCTTTAAATAAAGTCTACATAGAATATAGAGGGGGGGGGAGGAGAAGACAATATTTAAACAGCTCCGGGGAGAACCTTGAGTTTTCCCTGAAGTAAGTTTATTCTTTTCTCTGAGGATGAGGGTCCCCACCTTTGTTCCAGAGGTGGGACCTCTATATATAATATATTTTATATATAATATTTTATATATATATAAAATATAATATAATATAAAATATATATATATATATATGCAAAACAACCACTCTGAAAGAATAGAGAAATTCCAAGCGCTTTCGTGACTACTCACATTATCACATTGACAATGTGAGTAGTCACGAAAGCGCTTGGAATTTCTCTATTCTTTCAGAGTGGTTGTTCTGCATATATATATATATATATATATATATATATATATATATATATATATATATATATATATATATATATATATTACTTCTTGAGGTGTCACCATCTTTTGACAACCCAACACTTGATGAATATGATGCACACCTGAGATCAACTTTTAAGAAGGCACTGAACCTGTCACTAGAGGATGAGCAATGGGATCAGGCAACCCTCCCAGTGCGACTGGGAGGTATAGGGGTGCGTAAAGCAACGCATGTTGCTTTACCTGCTTTTCTGTCTTCGTGTTTGGCTTCCAGTGCATTAGTCAAGAAGATAGTGCCCGAACGCTTGAGAGACTTGGTAGGAGCTCAAGACCCCAGGTTTACTGAAGCAGCAATTCGGTGGGACACCCTTACAGACTCCTCCAGTAGACCAGCTCCTCCCAAACAGAACAAACAGTCCCACTGGGACAAACCGGTCATGGAAAAAATCGCCAACACAATGCTCTCCAATGCTTCAGGAAAGAACAAAGCTCGTCTCCTGGCAGTGAAGGCACCACACTCAGGAGATTTCCTGTTAGCTGTTCCCAATTCCTCCCTGGGCACCCGTCTCGACCCACAGGCCATTCGGATTGGTGTTGCTCTTCGCCTAGCCGCCCCCATCCTCACCGAACATAGGTGTATTTGCGGCAGGGCGACAGCTGATCAATTCGGACTCCATGGTCTCGTGTGCCACACAGCAGAAGGGAAGTATGCCAGACATGAGGAGATCAATGACATAATAAAGAGAAGCCTCGCCACAGCCCGTTGCCCAGCTCAACGGGAACCCCAAGTACAGAGGTCTGATGGAAGTCAAAAGCGTCCTGATGGAGCCACTATGCTACCCTGGAAGGATGGAAAGCAGATTGCCTGGGACTACACCTGTGCTGCCACATTGGCAGACACCTACTTGCCATACTCTGTAGTGGAAGGGGGTGGAGCTGCCAGCCACAGGGAGACCCAGAAGATCCGAAAATATGAAGACCTTCCCCCTTGCTATAACTTCATTCCAATAGGGTCGGAGACCCTTGGAGCATTGGGCAAGTGTGCTCTAAAGTTCCTCAAAGAGCTGGGTGAAAAGCTCATCATAGAAACCAAGGACCACAGGGCGACCAGCTTCCTCTTTCAGAGACTCAGTGTTGCGATCCAGAGAGGAAATGCCTGCAGCATTCTGGGCACGCGGCCCACCGCCGGGGAGCTGGACGAAGTATTCGAGATGTAGCTCTGAGTTACCTATGTTGTTTTACTTTGTATCATATTTTTGTGAATGTTTTGTCAATGTATTTTGTCTTTAATAAAATATATATATATAATATAGGGGTGGTAGGAGAAAATTCTCAAACAGCTTCAGGGAGAATCTTGAGTTTTCCCAGAAGCAAGTTTATTCTTTTCTCTGAGGATGAGGGTCCCCATAACAGTTCTAGAGGTGGTACCTCCCTATAAATATATATAATATATATATATATATATATATATATATATATATATATATATATATATATATATACACCACACACACACACAATGAAGAAACAAGGAAATGAAAACCAAAAATGGAAGACAAAGGTAAATATAAAGAAAGTGTAGAGTGGGAAATGTACAAATAACAGTGATAATCTTCTAACAGACTACAACCTTCATCATCAAAATATTTCCGATGCGACCGGAGGGTCATTTCCTTCTTGCGACTTGCTCAATTCCCAGAATCATTTCCTTATGTGGACTTTTGGACACCCTCCACCGGCGTGTTACCTCTCCAGTCCTCTCTCCCTCCATCCTTCCTACCATCTCTCCTTCCCTCCCTCCATCCTTCTACATCTCTCCTTCCCTCCCTCCATCCTTCCTACCATCTCTCCTTCCCTCCCTCCATCCTTCCTACCATCTCTCCTTCCCTCCCTTCATCCTTCCTACCATCTCTCCTTCCCTCCCTCCATCCTTCCTACCATCTCTCCTTCCCTCCCTCCATCCTTCCTACCATCTCTCCTTCCCTCCCTCCATCCTTCCTACCATCTCTCCTTCCCTCCCTCCATCCTTCCTACCATCTCTCCTTCCCTCCCTCCATCCTTCCTACCATCTCTCCTTCCCTCTCTCCATCCTTCCTACCTTCCATGCCCATTTCCTGCCCCATCAAATGATTTGCTCCTCCCAGGGCAAACATTTCCTAGGGCTGATGCTACGGATGTTTAGAAATCCGGATTTCGCTCACACACAAAAAACCCAGTCCCTCTGGGTTTATTAATAAACCCCCAGGATAAATGTTCTAAATAAGTGATGACGCCATCAACAACAACAACAGAAAAATTCTTCCCTGCCAAGTGGTGGAAACTGGTGAAACACCAGCAGAAAAATCTACCACTTTGGATTCAACTTAATTTTATTCTATCATGGTTGAACTAAGCAGTCGTGCAGCAGCTCTGCTTCAGGGTAGAACAGCTGCTCTACTGAGCAGCTGTTCTACTGAGCAGCTGTTCTACTGAGCAGCTGCTCTACTGAGCAGCTGTTCTACTGAGCAACTGCTCTACTGAGCAGCTGCTCTACTGAGCAGCTGCTCTACTGAGCAGCTGCTCTACTGAGCAGCTGCTCTACTGAGCAGCTGCTCTACTGAGCAGCTGCTCTACTGAGCAGCTGCTCTACTGAGCAGCTGTTCTACTGAGCAACTGCTCTACTGAGCAGCTGCTCTACTGAGCAGCTGCTCTACTGAGCAGCTGCTCTACTGAGCAGCTGTTCTACTGAGCAACTGCTCTACTGAGCAGCTGCTCTACTGAGCAGCTGCTCTACTGAGCAGCTGCTCTACTGAGCAGCTGCTCTACTGAGCAGCTGTTCTACTGAGCAACTGCTCTACTGAGCAGCTGCTCTACTGAGCAGCTGCTCTACTGAGCAGCTGCTCTACTGAGCAGCTGCTCTACTCCTGGGAAACTTCAAACTAAAGAGACTGTGTCATGACAACAATAAGGAACTTATGAGGTCTGACAGGCTGTTGAAGAGTCAAGCCGACGACTGGTAGACACTACACGGTATGTACTCAGTAACAATCTTCACTCAGCAGTGTTATAACATACACTCAGTAACAATCTTCACTCAGCAGTGTTATAACAAACATCTATTAATAATGTATAGTTAATTATAAATTTATATTTCAGAGTTGAAATACCTTGAAGTACTGTACTCTAATATGCTTGCACTTTATATGTAAAAATTCATTATTCATTAAAATGATCTATATTCGGTTATTAATTTACTTAAACCTGAGCTATACTGCGCAGTATTAATGTATACACTGACTTTACTGTTTTATTTTTTAAATACTGTATTTTGACCAATTAATAAAAAAAAAACATAAATAAAAGATTCAGAACTATATTACTATAACTCTTTATGTCCACATTATAATAAATAAAAAAAATTGAGTTAAGGTGCCATGTCAAACCCGGTTTTTTTAACTATAAAAACCCGGTCTGGGGGGGTAAGTGGGCAGCTACCCACCAAAACTCTCAGTTTGATGCCACCGGAGGCCTAGTGACAGACCGGGCAGCGGGGGCGCTGACCCACGAATAGGTACAAGTAAATAACAAAAAGGCACAATACCGTGACTGGAACGATACACAAATAACCCGCACATAAAAGAGAGAAGCTTACGGCGACGTTTCGGTCCAACTTGGACCATTGACAAAGTCACACTAACCAAAAGTGGAGCAGGACGGCTATATATAGGCAGGAAGAGGTGGTGGTAGTAGTAGTAGTAGTAGTAGTACAAGAATGGTATATGATACCGACAAGATGAAATTAAGACACATGCGCAACACCCGCGCATCCCCATCATAGACGTTTCGCCATCTAGTCAGCCAGTGGGCACCTAGCTCTCTTGCAGTGCTCCCCTTCCTTTGTATTTGACTGGCTCGTCCTCCTTATTTCCCACTTCTACCACTACCACTACTACTACCTCTTCTACTACTACTACTACTACTACAACTACTGATGAAATTAAGACACAAGTGCGGTGTCTGGTTGTCTTTGTTGTGGACGTTTTGCCATCCAGTGGCTGGCTGGATGGCGAAACGTCTACGATGGGGATGCCCGGGTGTTGCGCATGTGTCTTAATTTCATCTTGTCGGTATTATATACCATTCTTGTACTACTACTACTACTACTACTACTACTACTACTACTACTACTACTACTACTACCACCACCTCTTCCTGCCTATATATAGCCGTCCTGCTCCACTTCTGGTTAGTGTGACTTTGTCAATGGTCCAACTCGGACCGAAACGTCGTCGTAAGCTTCTCTCTTTTATGTGCGGGTTATTTGTGTAGATACAGGTACACCTCCAGTGTCAGCTGGTAAATGTTCTCTGGGCGTCTCCTCTCTTCCTCTGAAACCTGCTTCAGCAGTACTTCTCTTTTCCTCTTCCCGCAAA